CTTTCTTTAAAAGAAAAAAAATTTTATATTTTAAATTAATGAATGATGAAATAAATTATGTATAGAATCCTATATCAATATTCCACAAAATGATACTGTCACTATTAGACAAACACACTCCCTTGGCTTGAAATGAGATTTTATCTCATTTACTTATAAACTTTTCTTTTTCCAATAGGGAAATGAGTCTACAACAATACCTTATGAGAAAAGTCTTCAGTTACAAAGAGATGAGAGTATAACAACTTCACCCAGCAAAAAAGAAAATGAAGGTAAGTATTAATACTCTACTATCGAAAAGTTTTTCACAGAAGAGTCTCTTTAAAAACGCTGTGGTTGCTATGAACCACAGATTAGAACCTTTGTCACACCTGCATCACCTGTATTATTTCTGACATGCTCAAGGAGCTTATAAAAAATAGTAAATGTTTATATACAAAAAGTACACAGTACATAGTATTGACAATATTTGAAGATAAAGAGTAAATATAATAAATAAGATTCTTTGTAGCATAAAAGGATAGTGCAGACAATCAAGACCACTATGTATAAGACTGGTGGTTTCATCAATCCACAAGCATCTTTACAGTCAGCTTTGGCATTCTAATTCTGAAAGATCACAGCCTTAAGACCCCATGGAGAAGTTCACCTTACATACATGAGGTCATCTGGAATCAGCTCTAGAACTTCTCAATAAGCAGGAATCAAATACTGCCTCAGAACATACTAAATTCAAACAATGGAATCTTATCTGCAATGAGAAAATCACACAGAAATACTGAGAGTATGTATAAACTTACCATACTGTATTATGAATGAGAAATGCTAATTAGGAATAATCAAGCCCAACAAAAGTTACCAAGTCCAAAAGTAGCCTCCATAAAGAGCATATGCCTGTGATACATAAAACCAACTGAAGAAATTTTTATTCAAAACCCAAAGTTGAAAAAACAAAGAGTCACCTTCAAAAGAGCACATAAAATATAGCTCTAATCTCTCAGCAAAAACCATGCAGGCAAGAAGACAATGGGTAGACACACAGAAAGTGATGGGGGGAAACTGTCAACCAATAATTATATACCGCAAAAACATCTCTCATATATGACAGCAAACCTATCACATTTCCAGATAAACAGAAACTAAGGAAACTTGTGAAAACTACACAGACCCTACAAGAAATATTAAAGGACGTTCTTTATACAAAGATACAAAAACAACACACAATATTCCAAACTTAACATCCATAACAATATCATTCTGAAACTGGACCAGACACAAAAATACACAAATAAATAAACAAGACTGAAAATAGGAAACAGGATGTACCAGTCCATAGTAATTACAACAACAAAGTAAAAAAAAGGTATAAATATAAGCAATATGCAAGCAAATTTCTGCTGAAGATTACACATACATAGGGAACTGCCAGAGTTCAAGCAGGATTTAGAAGAGGCCGTGGCACCAGGGATATCATGGCTAATATCAGATGGATCCTGGCTGAAAGGAAAGAATACCAGAAAAATGTCTATTGATGTTTTATTGACTATGGAAAGGTATTTGCCTGTGTAGATCACAAGAAGTTATAATTAACACTGAGAAGAATGGGAATCCTAGGGTACTTAGTTGTGCTCATGAGAAACCTTGACCTAGACCAAGAAGCTGTTGTGCAGAGCAAGGGAACACTATATGACTTAAAAAGAAGGTAAGAGTTACTCTCACCTCCTAGTACCCCCAATATGTTTTCCCCCCCAAAAAAAGACTAAAAAAAAATAAGGTAAGAGTTACTCAGGGTTGTATTTTCTAAATTTAAGTATTTAATTTGTATGCTGAACAAATTATTCAAGAAGCTGGACTCTGTGAAGAAGAATGTAGGATCAGGAGCAAAGGAAGACTCATCAATAACTTGTGTTATGCAGATGACACAACTTTCCTTGATGAAAGTGAGGAGGACTTGAAAAACTTGTTTCAGAAGATCAAACACTGCAGCTTTCAATATGGATTGCATCTCAAAGTCAAGAAAATAATTCTTACCACTGGACTGACAGGCAATATCATGATAGATTGAAACTGTCACATAGATCCAAAATCAACATCTTTAGTACCAGCAGTCAGGAAATCAGAACACATTGCACTGGGAAAGTTGGTAGTTAGGGACGTCTCCAAATTATTGAGGAGTAATGATGTCAGTTTGAGAACTAAGGTGCATTTGATTGAGACCTCAGTCTCACTTGCTATGCATCAGAGCTAGAAAGGAATAAGGATGACAGACGAATTGATGCCTCTGAGCTGTGGTGCTGCAGAAGAGTACTGAATATCCCATGGACTGACAAAAACAAACAAATAAATATGTCCTGGAGAGATGAAGCCAGCATGTTCCTTGGAGTCAACAATGGTAAAGCTTTGTCTCACATGCTTCAGGCATCTAGCTAGGAGAGGCTATTCCGAGGAGAGGGACATGATGTTCAGAAAGGCGGACAGTTGGCAAAAGAAAGGAAGACCCTCAACCAGGTGGACTGACACACTGACTGCCACAACAGGCCCTAATGTGTCAGGAAGTGTGAGGATGGCATAAGATAAAGATAGGGTTCACATCTATTGTTCATAGGGTTGCAATGGTTTGTACTTGATTTGATGGCATCTAACAACAACAGTGTTACCTTGTTCTGTCTGCATAACAGCCTCTTGGTTTAGATATAGGTTTCATTTGGGTATAATTAAGTGTTCTGAGACTCCCATTCTTAATGTTAGCCATAATGTGTTATGATCCACATAGTCAAATTCCTTTGCATAATAAATAAAGAATAAAATTACATTCTCCTGATAAATTTTGCTTTCATCCAGAATACATCTAATATCAGCAATGATATCACTTACCATGGCTTCTTCAAATCGAGCTAAAACTTCTGGCAGGTCCCTATCTATGTACTGCTATAGCCATTTTTAAACGATTCTCAGCAATATTTTGCTTGCATGTGATAGTAATGATACCATTCAATAATCTCCAAATTTGTTAGACGACCTTTCTTGGAATAGGAACAAATGTGGATCTCTTCCACTAAGTTGGCCAGATAACTGTCCTCCAAAATTCCTGGCATAGACTGGTGAGCACATTTAGGGCTCCATCTATTATCTGAAACATGTCAACTGGTATCCCATTGATTCCTGGGGCTCTATTTTTTGCCAGTGCCTTAATTACAGATGAACTTCTTGATTATCATTGGGTCTTGAGCATATATTACTTCCTGAAATATTTCCGTGTCAGCCATTCTTTTTGATACAGTAATTCTGTGTATTCCCTTCATCTTCTATTTATACTTTCTAAATAATTCAAGGTTTGCCTAGAGTATTTCGAAGTACTCCAACTCAAGGCATAAATTTGTTTTTTATTATCTTAGCTTGAGAAAAGCCAAGTCAGTTCTTCCCTTTTTAGTCTTCATTCTAGGTCTCTGCACATTTAATGCTCTGCTTTGTATTCTCACACTGACCTTTGAAATTTTCGAATCAGTTCTTTTACTCAATATCTCTTTCTTCACTTTGCGTTGGCTTCTCAGTGCTCTAATGCAAATTATCCTCTCTCCACGGATGATATCTTTCACATCATCACACAACTTATTTGGTCTTCACACACTGGTGTTCAGCGCTTCAAACCAATTACTTTATGTCACTTTTTTTAGGATTTCCCATCATTCATTGTTGCACATTTCTCCCTGGCATTCCCTTCCTCACAATTCACTCTTCTTGAAAAGAAAAACCTCTTTCATTGTTATGCAATCTCTCCCCGCCCAAGTCTACTACACTATGCAGCTTTCTCTCTAGGCTTCTGTAAAGACAAGAATACTCATTCATATGTTCCTCTCCTCCTTTTCTGTCTTCCCTCCACTCTGATGTCTCCCATTTTACAAGAGTGGCCCTATGCAATATTTGTCCTCTCGTGACTGAAATCTTTGACTCAACATAATATCTTCAAGGGTCATCCATTTTGCATAATATTTCATGAGTTCCTTGTTTTTCAATGCTGCACAGTATTCCATTGTGTGAATATATCAGAGCTTCTCTATCCATTCATTTGTTGATGGGCATATGGGTTATTTCCAGCTCTCTGCTATTGTGAACAAAGCCACAATAGACATGGGTGTGCCTATATCTGCTTGGGAGGCAGTAATGGTATCTTTAGGATAAATTCCAAGTAGTGGAATTGCTCAGTCAAATGGTATCTCTATTTGCAACTTTTTGAGAAAGTGCTATACTGCTTTCCATAGTGGTTGTACTATTGTACACTCCCAACAACAGTGAATAAGGGTTCCAGTTTCTCAAAAACCTCGCCAGCATTTGTTACTTGCTGTTCTGTTAAATTTTGCTGTCCTTATTGGGGTGAGATTATATCTAATAGTTATTTTGTTCTGCATTTCTCAGAGCTAGAGATATTGAACATTTCTGCACGTGCTTGTTGCCATCTGAATGTCGACTTTGATGAAGTGTCTGTTCATATCCTGTGCGCATTTTTCAATTGGATTGTTTACCTTTATCTTGTTATGGGGCTCAAGTACTTTATGAATTCTAAATATAAGACCCTTATCTGACATGTCATTACAAAATACTTTTTCCCACTCTGTGGCTTCAGTTATTACCCTATTGCAGTTTTCTCATGTGCATAGGGATTTGATCCTTACACGATCCCATTCATCTATTTTGTCTTCTCCTGGTTGTACTTTTTCCAGAATGCTTGAAAGACTGTTGATGTTTTGTATTAGGACTTCTAGAGTTCTTCCAACATTTTCATTAATAAAGTTTATAGTTCTTGGTTTTAGTCCTAGGTACATAATTCACTTTGAATTGGTTATTGTGTATGGAGTGAGGTGGGGAAAATTCTTTGAATTTTCTGCAGATAATTTTCCAATTTTGCCAGCAGCATCATTTGTTCGAACCTACTCTTTTTCTTTCTTTTATTTTACAAAGGTTTTGGATTTCCATTCATTCATTGCCGCAATTTTCTCCCTTCCCACCCCTCCACAACAGCTCGCTTCCCCCTCCGAAGAGAGAAAAAAAGAAAAAAAATACGTTCATTAGTATACAATTCCCAC